CTGAAGAGGAAGTAGGTACTCTTAATACTTTAGATAGAAAATTTTACTCAAAGAAAACATTCCTTTATTATTGAAAAGAAACAAAACTGCATTCAAAGATTTTTAAACATTAGCTTGCTTCACACGGTAATCGGACCGACTAAAATCTGTAAAAGTTGCACCCTGTACCTCGTGTGTTCATAAGTTTTGAGACAAACTTTTTGCTTATAAAAATAAAATAAAAATTACTGGCTGCTTTATATTTCTTTTTCTAATTTTGAATTTTGAATGTTAACTTTTAATATCTATGATTTCGGATTATTTTATTTAAATTTTCTCGTAATGGAGGGAACAAAAGAATTAAGTACGTCATTTTAGAGTACCTATAAATCGTACTCAAAAGTGACGTAATGCAATATTTCAAATCAATATATCTTCGAATGAAAACTATTCGTTTCCGTAAGAAAAAAAAATACGTGTCTAATGTTTTTAAATAATCTACCAGACGGACATTATAATACAAATTTGTCATCTACCCTATTTTGTATAAAAATAGCTTCTGGGAAGGTGCGGGATCGAAACCTACCAACGACACGTACCAATGCGACTTTTTCCGAGTTATATGTACCTCTACATTTACTGCATCGATTGTTATGGTCAATAAGGATGAATCTCTCAAACTTCATAAATTTAATGAAAGGAAAACAATAAACGTGGCTCACTGGCAAGCGCAACCTTTTTAAAAGGCCGGCAACGCACCTGCGACTCCTCTGGTGTTGCGGGTGTCCATGGGCGGCACTGATCGCTTACCATCAGGTGATCTATCTGCTCGTTTGCCTCCTATTCCATAAAAAAAGCGCAGCGTAGGATGTCCCGCAAGGTGGACAGACGACCTGATTATGGTCGCAGGGAGCTGCTGAATACACGTCGCTTCCATCCGGCCTATCTGGAAGTCATTGGGGGAGGCCTATGTTCAGCAGTAGACGTCCTGTGGCTGATATGATGATGATGAAAATCATCGAATGACTTCTCCCGCCTGGGTGAGGCGGGAGGGAGTGTCAGACTCTTACTGACTAAAAACCACCCCGTTCCTACTCCTGCACTTCGAGCCGGAGCCCCGATAACCCGTTAAGTTCTCCGTGGCTCCGTGTCGGCACCAACCCTATTGGGCCCCATCCGTGGTGGTCTTGTGGCTCTTTGAGGCACGCGCTCGGGTCTGGTTCTAGTCGAGCGGCGAGCTACCCATGCTCCGTCCACAAGCCCGTGCTTATGGTAGCCGGAGATGCTTACAGTGGCCGGAGAACCTACATACACGGTGAACTCTGAATTTGTATTTACAGTTCATGGGCAGTGCTGATTGCTAATTGTTTACCGTCAGGTGATCTGTCTTAGTTTTTATCAAATTTCTTGTTATGCTAGTTTCTTTTTGTGCCTTTAGGCTTAATTCATTCTGTCTCCTGCAGTAATTCACCGAGGGAAGTGGAAACTGTAGTTTTTCTTCTCCTCTTATATCTTCTGATTCACTTCGTTGCGGGATCCAAGATTATTCATGTCCCTGGGACGTTGGACTTCAGTGTTCCGGTGTTTGCATGGTTGTATCTACTGTAGATATTAGTGTACTTACAGGATTGCAGCTGTTTTGGGAAGGAAAAAAACTAAATAATTTGAATTTATAAATGTTTAATCATATTGTGGTTGCGTTTATGATAACACCTTGACTGCAAGATAAATATTCAAGCAAATAGGGTAGTTGCCTCAATTTTATTTTAATGTCCGACTGGTAGATTAATTTAAAACTTTAGATACGTATTTTTTTTTCTCACAAAATTAAATACTTTCGACCATATATTAATCTGAAATATCGTGTGACATCACTGTAGGTAACTACCTCCCACTCCTAAACTTAACGCCATTTTATCGAAGTATTGTAACATAACTTAAGTAAAAAACAAATATGTGTCCAATATTTTTTCATTATATAACTGGCAGACTAATTAGATTTTTAATTTTCATGCCCTGGCAACTAAGTACTCTATTAAAAAAAACATAGGTACTTATAACTGAAGCCTTTTTGGAAAGGGGCGAATCATCGAATGACTTCACCCACCTTGGAATGAGGCGGGAGGAAGTGTCAGACTCTTACTGACTAAAAACCACCCCGTTCCTACTCCTGCACTTCGAGCCGGAGCCCCCGATAACCCGTTAGGTTTAGACTATTGCATTTTAGAGCAAAATATATTAATACTTTTTTGCTATTTTACTGGGTTTTAAAAAAATTCTCACACCGGAATTGTGCCCGGTATATGGCAATAGACTCACCCCCTATTACATGGGACTCATAACATAAATAGTGAAAAGTGGGTGTTACTTCTGTGTGCACCTCTGCCTACCCTTTCGGGGATAAAAGGCGTGATGTTATGTTATATGAGAGAGTAAAGCAGCTTTTTTACAATCGGATATTAAAAACGGCTTATGTTTAACTTACCACCAGATATAGTAACAAATAGCAGACAAAAATAGTAAATGATCACCAAAATGAAACTCGCATGTAAAATTATAACCAAAGTTTTAACACTTTGCTATCCTATTTAAGTAAAATGACTCCAAGTAAATCATGAGTAACCCCAAAATAGTAAATGATCACCAAAATTTAACCAACCTAACCTAACCTTTTTTTTTAAAAATAACCTAACCTAACCTAAGATAAATTTGGTGATCATTTACTAAATTTGGTGGTCGAATACAATTTAAAGTGGAGTCGTGACTAAAATAGCTGGTACTATTGTATTTTTTTACTTCATTTTTCTGGTGTTAAGTAGATATTTTTGGTTACAAAACTGAGGGTATCAAAGCATTTTATGGTGGTCATTATATTTATCTCCATTAAAAACGGATTGTAAAAAGCTCAATGACATGGAGCTAGTTTACAAGCTACTCGCGAACTCGCCGATTAGCAGCTTGAAAACCAGCCCAGTATCATCGAGGCTGTAGTCAGTAGTGTACCAGAGTACCAAGCACGAATAACTATCGCATTCGTAACGTAATAGTATCGAGCGCGTTCGGCGCTCTGATTGGCCAGCTCAAGTGAACCAACCAATCAGAACGCTTAACTCGCTCGATACTGTTACTATACGAATGCGATAGTTATTCGTGCTTGGCACTCTGATTGATACGATACTAGCGACCTCTATTTCAATACTCTTTTTTGCCAAACTGTACAATGCATTTTTTTTTTTAAGTAGCCCCACACTAGAATTTTCTCCTGTGTCGTGTGTGCGTTTACAAACATATGTGTGCGTTCACATACACATGACACCCAGACCCGAAACAACAATTTGTAGATCATACAAAGTGTTGTTCCGTGAGGTAATCGAACCCGCTACAAGTTGCACGGCATCTGGTTGCCGTCATATTAACCGTGCAGTTATAATTGTCACCGAAGTTAAAAGTTAACAACGAAAATTAAAAATAAAAAAAACCTTAGAATTTTCATAAAATGTTATTATTTACTTAAAAATAAGCAACTCTTAAACCTAGTTATTTAACCACAAAATATTGTTAATTATCCAAATGGTCCCTTAATCGTAAAAAGCTTATTGCATCATTTCTAACCTAATTGTACCTATTTACTTTTTGATCAAAAATTAATAAAACGAAAATTATTTTTCGGTAACCTCACTCACACGGCGAAACATAACGCAAGCGTTGTTTCACGTCGGTTTTCTGTGAGGCCGTGGTATCACACCGGTCGAACCGGAATTCTATTTTTTTTTAAGTAAAATCAAAATTCGATTGCTTTGTGTAGGTCTTATTACATTATATTATCTGTGTTAATATTAGCTAAAATAAAACAAATATTTTGTGTATCAGAACAAAATTCAATTAAAAATAAATATGTACAAAAACATTTTTACAAAAAAGCCTGGCAGACATAATTTAAAACAAAATAAATAAGTTACTTAAAAATTAGAAGTAGTAGGTATGTTCATAATTTGTTTTACAAATTTGCCGCCAAAAAAGCGATGCTCTATATACATTAGAATAATTTTTAATAGGCATAATGTATTATAATGTGGTATGAAAATTATTTACGCATAATTTTAAGTTAATTAAACATAATAATGTTTGTACATTAAATTCAAAGGCATGGTAATATTGAAATACTCTTTTATTTGTGTCCAGGATCCATTTTATACCCAAGTATTATTATGAAAAAAAAAAATTGTGAAAACGCTATTATGCCAAAAAGGTTGTACCAAAATATATTATACGAAAATTGGATCCTAAGTAAATACAACATCTACACTTATTTCTTCAGCATATCAAACATCCATTTCAAATGTAATTAGCCTTTTTAAAAAATATTTTGTTTTATAAATTTTTCAAAATATTGCATTACTTGGCCACAAGTGGACAAGTCCACCATTCCACAGATTAAATACACTTTCTTTTTAGCTTAAACCTAATCTAATAAGAAAATGCATTCTTTTTTTAACTTTTCATATCCACAGATATTCTAAGCAAGTATCTTCATCCATAGATAATTTGTTTTTTTTATTTTAATGCACTTAAAATTGTACAAACATACACATAATGCCTTAAGCATGGGGAGTGATGTAGCCTAATTTTAAATACTTGTACTATTATATACAGCTAATCAGTTTGTTTGCACTAATCTCTAGAACCACTGGTCCGATTTGAATAAATCTGTGTTGCATAGTTGATTTATTGAGAAAGGCTATAGGCTATAAAACATCACGCTACGATAAATAGGAGACGAGCTGAGTGAGTAAAACCGCACAGGAGTAGCTAGTATCTTGTAAAAGACTTGCATTTTTGTGTTCCCAACACTTTGTATATAAAAATATACATATTCATCTTTGTATAATACCACACAAGCATACAAGTTATCTGTAGATATGAGAGTTCAACTGCATTCACAACAAAAATACCTCATCATGATTACGTGAACAATATTTGCGAAATGCTGACTTAATTTAGAATATTCTAGATTAATTTAATCACTCATCTTTCCATACAAAGGCACTTAATCGGAACACACCGCTCATATCCCAGTTAAAGATACGCTCACCAGGTTTGGAGCCCCCAGCGCCTGCAATTACTATCAACGGCATAAAATGCTCCGCCGCCCTCATCGGGTGGGCTTCTGTAGCACCTTTCTGCTGTCTCCAGGACAACAAACCTTCTTTTCGTTCAGCCTCATCTTCCGCAGTACATACTTTGTTTAAGTATTCGTCGAATTCTTTGTTTACTACAGAGGATTGGTGTCGGCCTAACATAAATTCTCTCATGTTGTGGTACGACATTCCAGAGCCCAAAATAGCAATACCTTCTTTTCTAAATTCATATAACGCCTGTCCAAGTTTATAATGCTGTTCTGGGTCTTGATTAGACAAAACTGAAATTTGTACTATAGGCACACTGGCTGCAGGGTTAATCAACATCATTGGCACAAAAACTCCATGGTCCCAACCTCTTTTCGAATCCAATTTCGAATTTATTCCCGCCTTTTTCAACGTACGATGGATTCTTTCTGCTAAAGCCGGATCTCCGGGTGCATCGTACTTATATTTGTAAGTTTCTGGCGGGAAACCGTAATAATCGAAGTACAGATCGTGATGTTTACCCGAAGATATTGTTACGACATTCTCTTCCCAATGGGCAGTCACAAGAATGATAGCTTTTACCTCCTTTAAATTCAGGTGCTTTTGGACACCGTCGCGCAGGAAATTCGTCAGTCCTGCGTGGTCTTTGTCCCCCAGAAGCGGCATTGGACCTCCTCCGTGGTTAACGAACATCGCTGGAGCAATTAAAGCCATTTTTTTAACACCACCAGTAAAATATCTGATTATATTCATGGACAGCAGTGACATAGACACTATGAACGCTACTTGTAGCAAAATCGTAAGTGTGTTGAGGATAAGCATGTAAACTGGTTTTGTATGACCTTATCGCACATAAATAATGATTGTAATTAACCTCGAAGGTTATTGTTTTCGTCAGAATAATACAAAAAAAAATAGGTTATTTGCTTATTTGACGACTAACTGACGTTTAACGAACGAACTAAAGTCATGATGACGGAAAAGATCAGATGATGAGTTACAGATTATCCATGTATGATGACTGAACATTTTAGTTCGGGTTAAAAAGTTCAATGAACTATTTTTGCACTCGGTTTTGCTCCAAGTCCAATATTAGACAATGTTTTTGTAATAGATGATAATGTAAGATGTTAAAATCTAAATGACATCAATAACGTATACCGATTTAAAGAAACTAACGGAAAAGAAGTTGGCAAACAGCAAATCAAAGAATATATAAATAAATAAATAAATATTACAAACTTCAAAGAATATCGTGGATTGACTTCGAATCAAAAAATATTATTTAAATAGAATATTAAATGCGCTTAATTCAGTTTAATTTCATAAACATTAAAAATAAATCATTCATTCTTTATAGTTTCAGAACGAAATTAGTGCTGAAGAAAGGGATGCCACGACTGCAAGAAAGAGAAAAAAGCTTGCCGCCATTTAAAAATGGCTTCCTTTTGAGTTGTCTTTTTCCCACTGGCATAATTTTGAAATTATCTCAATTATCCAGTAACAAAACAATAAAATACCGTGTTTATTTACTATAGATAATGTTATTATAGATATTTGTATGAAATAAGACGTAGCATAACCTTGTATTATTGCAAAAAGTGTTAAAATGTCGTGCCTAGGGCGAGGCGGTTCGCCCAACAATAAACCACAATATTTAGCGTGGAAACGCTGGTTTTAGTGTTTAAAATTAAACAAAAACTATAATAAAAATGGACAAGAAAAACAAAAAGAAAACTGTGATTAAGAGGAAAAGTGATGAGAGTGGCGAGGGTGAGAAGAAACAAAAAATAATGGTGAACCGTAAAAATGTGCAAGAGGAGAAAGAAAAGGTTGAGGTCGTGAATCAGGTGGTGGAGGTTCCTGTGGAGCAGGGCCAGCAGATCGTGCACACGGGGCAGCTGGTTGAGGGTAACTTCGAGCAACCAGTCTTCGTAAATATGAAGGGGGAACCCGTTCAATTGGGTCCTAATACCGTCATACTTTACGAACAAAGTGGCAACCCTTCGAACTTCGCTTTTGGTGGTATGTGGACCATGGATTCTTCTGGAAGGATCGTGATGGCAGAGACAATATATGACGTGAAAGGAGAGCCGGACGAAGAAGGTGCTAACTTTGTCCAGAGCAACACTGAAGTGACTACTGTGAGTTTGTTTTTTTAACTAGTTTCTGGCTTTCATCCACCTTGTTATCATTATTAAAAGTAGTCCATATGCTGTTCCAGGCTATAATCTAATTCTGTGCTAAATTTCGTTAAGATCAGTCCAGTAGTTTTTATGTAAATCAGTAACAAACATAGTTCATATGTCTTCATAACATTTAACAGATGTAAGTTTAAAGTTTGGTTTTGTTTTAAGGTATAATAACGATAGATGATCCTATGACCTTTTGTTTCAATTGTTAGCCTTTGTTTAGTATTTCATATTTATATATATTATTGTAATTTGGATAAAAACAGGGAAGAGTATCAAATGTAAGTATATACGGTAGAGCTGTAAATGTAACGAAAAAAGCAAAGCTATAAATTTGTTTAAGTTTTACTATAAAAATGAGTGCTCGTTACTATCATAATATTGTTATGTTACTTCGTACTTGTTATACCTCAGTATAACCTAAAGAATCGAATGGAGTTGTATGTGAACTGAGCCCAGAATATCATACATACGTACTAATCCATTCTATATCATCATTACATCAGCCATAGTATGTCGACTGCTGAACATAGGCCTCCCCCAATGACTTCCAGATAAATCATCGTACAACAATACAATAAAATCATGCATACGTAACGAAATACATTCGAGAGTAACATTTTGTTGCTTAGCGTTCGACACTTGTTCCAAAGTATAGTTGAATAGAGAAGAACGAGCAAAACCTCTATTGTTACTCTTTTAACATAAAATGTTTTTATAGTCTCGTTAATTCAGTAACACACTGCCTCGTTGGCCTGGTGGTCGCAAGTGTGACTGTCGGACAAGGGGTCTCGAGTTCGATTCCCCGATTTTTTACGATTCTGGTTTTGAAAAAAATGTCAGCTGTTGGAATTGTGCTCGGTATATAGCAATAGGCTCACCCCCTATTACATGGGACTCATAACATAAATAGTGGAAAGTGGGTGTTACATTGTACAGTGACATGAAGTGCTGTAATGCGCCTTTACCTTTGTCTACCCCTTCGGGGGTAAAGGCGTACCAACATCAATAATAGCATCTAGTCTGGAATTGTGCTATGTATTTGGCAATAGTTACTATTATTAACTATTAGCTTTTACCAGCGATTTCGCTCGCGTTATCGTTGTATAAAAAGTAGCCTATGTGTTATTCCACACCATAATCTATCCCTGTTCCAAAACTCATCCCAATCTCTTCAGCCGTTTGGACGTCATTGAGGAACAAACATACGGACAAACACATACTCTTTCGCATTTATAATATTAGTAGGATAGTAACATTAACAACATCAACAGCCTATACATGCCTACTGCTGAGCAAAGCCTCTTCTCACATGGAGAAAGTAAGCAATTATTACCACGCTTGCTCAATGAGGGTTGGCAATTACAAACTTATAATTAGAAAGAAAGAAAGAAAGAAAATGCATTTATCTGGCCATTGGCACATGGAAACAAGGATCATTACAATAGAAATAAAAAATACAGTCAAAATAAAACAAAATAAAAACAAAACATTAATGATAGATTTTATAAAACAGAAAAGAAATGAACAAAAAGCATTAAAGCATATATTAAAATATAGCTAGAATAATAACCGAAACTAAAAAAACTAAAACTAATTAGAATTATAAGCTCAGGTTTCCTCACTGTTTTCCTTCACCGTTTGTCAGTGGTGTCTAGATAACTTTTAGAAAGTACTCGGAAAAAGTTATATTGGTACTTACCGTTAGTAGAGTTCGAGCCCGCACCCTCATGAATGAGAAGCGCGCGTCTTAAACCTCCGGGCCACCACGACCTAACATAAAAGATGAACGCCAGCTATTAACCCATATATAACCTCAAGCGGTCACCGGTGACCGCTGTCCACTAAGATTACGTTACATTATAGACCTTATTTCCAATATTTAGAAACTACTTTTGTATGACCAAATTTAGGGGATGGATTTCAATGGGTTAATCTAACTAAAAATTATTTCTCTTCGTTCCAGCAACCAGTGGAAGATCAACCGAACACATATCAACAGTTTGAGCTTAGCAGTGGCGCGCAAGTAGATGGACAACAGGAGTATGAGGTGGCCATCATTGAGAACCCACCTACAGAGACCAATGAGAAGTAAGTTCTTATAGCTTTAAGTTAAGGATATAGTGACTAACATGAATGACGTGAAACAACGCTTGCGTTATGTTTCGTCGCATGCGGAGACCCAATCACCCCTCCTCCCCTAGATTAGGAAAATCTCTGAATCCCCAACAATCTTCAAATTCCTAATCCCAAAACGTCAGTAACGCACTTGTAACGTCTCTGGTGTTCTAAGTGTCCATGGGCGACGCCCATTGCTTACCATCAGGTGATCCGTCCGCTTTACCGGCTTATTCCATAAAAAAATAATTGGGTAATTTCCTTAATCAAAAATAAATTATATCGACTGTTCAATACGATAAAATAATAAAAATAATTACACTTTCATTAATAGATTTTATGACCAATTTTAGTATTTTTCCAGCAAATTTTTAAGAAATAACTATGTTGTTTGTCACTAAAGAAACGTGACGTCACAATACACAATCTCGTACAAAATTCATAGAAAACTGTCGTTTTTACAGTTTGAAATAAGTATTGAATTTGACTAGTTGTAAAGTACACGATTATCAATGTTACTAGTTACTTGCGCGCGGTTTCACCCGCTCTGCTCCTATAGCCTTCCTTGATAAATGGACTACAAACAAAAATAATTATTGAATTCGAACCAGTAGTTTCGGAGATTAGCGCGTTCAAACAAACAAACAAAAAAAAAACAAACTCTTCAGTTTTATAATATTAGTACATACATACATACATAACTTCACGCCTGTCTCCCATGGGGGTAGGCAGAGACTAAGGAACGCCAATTACTACGATTCTTACATACCTCTCCCGCTTCATCAACAGTCATCAATCAATTTCATGCATGCTCGTCGGTTAAGGGTACTTTTAATTTGGCCCTTCTTTAATATATCGCCAATCTGGTCAGTATATGTCCGTCTAGGGCGCCCTCTACCGACAGCCCCATTTATATCCGCTCTGTATACTTCTTTCGTTACTCTACTTTCATCCATCCGTTCTACATGTCCAAACCAGCGTAACATTCCCTTTTCAATCCTTGTCACTACATCATCTTTCAATCCACACCTTTCTCTAATAGTAATAACACTATTTTTCACTCGATCACTCAATTTTAGTCCACACATACTTCTCAGTATAATATTAGTATAGATTAATTTCGACCACTAAGCAGCGAATACTGGCTTTACTATCCCTCAACAATGTCCATAATACTGTCATCAGATTTCATGTATGTATGTATTCCTTCCAGCCCTGAACCCCAAGTGGTGACCAACGAAGACCAGCTAGTGGCGACAGGTACCGGCGCAGTGCGCTGGCTCAATCAGAAATATGACTTTGTAGTGAGGAAACTGCAATTGAATTATGGTGAGTAACCATTCCTTGTAATTGAGTTTAACCTTATACTAGATCCATAATACAAACCCATAACAAAATATTTTTATTTTTATTTTATTTATTTATTTAACTTTGGAAGACTAACAGCTAACAAAACAAAAATTAAGACATTGTGCGAGTCTGACAGCCAATGACAAGTCTTCACATATAAAAAACAAACTTGTACTATAAAAGAATGTGGTCGACACAGTACTCCCTACAAAATTATTATAATAATAAAAACAAACAATAATAAATAATAACAAAATAAAAAGAAACAAAGTACTAAATTACTAATCTATTCTAATAAACATCTGAACACTACACAGACAAATTACCTCGCATAACATTAGTTCAATCGCGTTCCCTATTATGTTACTTAATAAAAAAAGAAAGGCTCAGGCACCTCCTGACCGTAGATACTTTAATATTAAAAAGGTCAAAATCATGCTGCTTGCACACGCTGTTAAATTCCTTAATTGCACGCACAAAATACGAGTTTTGCCTATAATTGGTAGAGGAGGATGGAACACGTAGCGGTGGAAACCATCTCCTCGGCCTTCCAGGAACATTGAGAAACAATCTCGCTAGAATATCGGAACTGTCAATATTATTTGTTAAGATTTTAATTAATAGGGTACAATCGCTTATTGCTCGGCGGTCCTTAAGCGGTAAGATGTGAAGATATAAAGTAGTTAATGGTCACAGCTGGTCACATAATAATCCATAATAAAATTGTAAACAACTTAATAATGTTAGGTATCTATTAAGGTTTTTAATTAATAATTTTGTTTAAAACTTGTGGCACCGACTTCTAATCTATCAGTGCGTGTGTAAGCAATAAGTACTTTTTAGTTTTACTTTTTTGTCTTTTATTTTGTTGTCGGTTTTTTTAAACGCAGTTTTTTATTCTCATTTTAGTTGTATTATATATATGTAGTCTGTAAGTTTTATTGATTGTTTAATTTGTTTTTTTTTTTTGTATTTTGGTTTTCTTTTATAGTGCATATACCACCCATTCCCAGGTTCTTTTAAAAAATTCCATCCAAAGGTTGTCTGGAAGATCGTCGCGTGTGATAACACCGCCCATTGTACTTAAATTACTATTGCAATTTTTACAATTTTTTTCTGTGTGTGCAATAAAGTACATACATACATAACTTCACGCCTGTCTCCCATGGGGGTAGGCAGAGACTAAGGAACGCCAATTACTACGATTCTTACATACCTCTTTCGCTTCATTAACAGTCATCAATCTTTTCATGCATGCTCGTCGGTTAAGGGTACTTTTAATTTGGCCCTTCTTTAATATATCGCCAATCTGGTCACTATATGTCCGTCTAGGGCGCCCGCTACCGACAGCCCCATTCATATCCGCTCTGTATATTTCTTTCGTTACTCTACTTTCATCCATCCTTTCTACATGTCCAAACCAGCGTAACATTGCAATAAAGTATAAATAAATAAATAAATATAATTTCCCCATCGTTTCAGACGCCGGCGTAAAACTCCTGCACTCTCCAACTGGTTGCATACAATGCGTCTACCTAACGACACCGAGCATGCAGCTAGCCTTCAACGCAGTGCCACAGTTTTTGTGTATTGAGACCGGTGAGATTATTATGCTATCCTTACTAATATAACATGACGCCTTTTATCCCCGAAGGGGTAGGCAGAGGTGCACATTAGTGCACTTAATGCCACTGTACAATGTAACACCCACTTTTCACTATTTTTTTTTTATTAAAAACGTTGCTCCATATTAGGATTTTCTCCTGTATCGTGGGTGCGTTTACAAACATACAAGTTCACATACACATGACACCCAGACCCGAAACAACAATTTGTGGATCACACAAAGTGCTGTTCCGTGCGGGAATCGAACCCGCGACACGTTGCACGGCAGCCGGTTGCGCAGCCACCGCACCAACCGTGCAGTCGTGTTATGAGTCCCGTGTAAATGGGGGGTGAGTCTATTGCCATATACCGGGCACATTTCCAGACTCCGTGCTACTACTGACAATTTTTTAAAAACGCAGTAATACTTTGCCTGACCCGGGAATCGTTTATATTTCGTTTAGATGCGTTTGTATTTCATTAATTTTTCCAGCATTTTATTAATTAAAAATCTCGGGTTACTCACATGAGTATACTAAGAAAAGCTCTACTAGTTTCGAGCCACAGTTATTCAAACGAAAATGCTCTTTATCTTTACAGGCATAGAGTTTAACAGCACTATACCGACAGTAGGAGGAACGGGCACTCCGTCCCTCAAGCATAATGTCACTCTGTTCCTCGCTGAAGATGGCAACGGGAAATCAGTCATTGTTAGTGCTGGTAAGTCATCTTATCTATATATATGTCGTAGAATAATTTGATACTTCGAATCTTCGCGGAAATCCTAGGGGTTTTGCGAAAACGCGGATAATTAGACATAGACGAAAAATTATCAAATCTTACTGGACAAAGTCAGGGTTTTTGCGAAAATACTCATTACTATAGTAAGATTGCGAAACGAAACGCTGGCTGTTATGAAATAAGAACGCTGATTGGTCCGTCAGCGCGTTCAATAAGAGATCGTCTCTGATTGGTTAACGTCTTAAATGTTTTCTCGTCGTCTTAAACGACCAGTTTCATCCAATTTATGGATTACACCCTAAAATTGGATTATTTTTTTTTACTACGACTGAGATCTCCTATTGTCTGTAGAAAACAACATACATACTAAAATTTTCAATAAAAGGTTTATAAAAATCAATTTAGTGATTTTTCTTTCTCACCTATTCTAAACCTTCATAACTCTATGATACAATACTTGAAGTTAATCATCGGCAAACTAGGAACCAATTAGAAGTCAGCCAGCAAAATTGTATCCAATCAGTGTTGAGCACTTCAAATCTTACTATAGTAACGAGTATTTTCGCAAAAATCCTGACTTTGTCCAGTAAGATTTGATAATTTTTCGCCTATGTCTAATTATCCGCGTTTTCGCAAAACCCCTAGGATTTCCGCGAAGATTCGAAGTATCAAATTATCCTACGACATATACACATAGTAAAACTATAGAAGTGTTCATTCTATAAGTTGAAATATAAAAAAAATATATAGTGGGGCTGTTACTGGTGATTTTTATGCTTTTAAAGCTATTAAACGAGCAGACGGATCACCTGATGGTAAGCAATCGGCGTCGCCCATGGACACCTGGAACACCAGAGGCGTTACAAGTGCGTTACCGGCGTTGGGAATTGCGAATTTGAGGATTGTAGGGGATTCGGAATCACTCCGGTCGAGCCGACCCATTCGAGCATGGCTCTCCCACACTTATTTTTTATGTAAATGGTGCTATGGTGACACACCTCAAATGACAGTACGACAGCGCATTCTACGCCACACTTGTGAAGTTACACGGATAGATAATCGTACCGAACAACTGTTGCGGACGCCGCGTGAGACTCCCGCCTGCCCGCTCTAGGCTGGTCGGTAGAGTCTCCGCCCTCGCTGCCCCCCCCCCCCCCGGCTCGAGCGCGGGCCTCTGGCGGCGCCCCCACTGGACACGACCATGCCCCGCCAACAGCTTGCTTTTCGCTGGCCTTGCCCGGCTAGATCGCGGCTCGTGGCGGGGCAAACCAGCCTGGGGGCTTAACTCTTGAATCCAATTCCGATCGATCGACATTGGTATTGTGAAACTTCGTACTCTTGAGTGCAACACTAGCGCCCATTACATCCGTATTACGCAATACGGATGTAATGGGCGCTATTCCACGCGGATCCACGCGGATATTGAATGAACTAAATGGTATTGAGTTTGTCTTTAAATTCCGTACTCTGAATGCTATTTTAACAGCTACGATTGTGGTTGTATAGTGTTGACATTGAATATTTTATTGGATTGAAATTGTATTGACATTGAGATTGGTTTCAAGAGTAAGCACCCTGGTCGGAGGATCCTCCTTTTCCTATCTTAGGGAACTTTCGTCTCTGTTTCCTCAAGTGTTATATCAAATTTGATTTATTTATAGACCATATCCTTTATTTTCTCCAGGTATTTCAACACTAATCGGCGAAGATCTGACCTGGTTACTGGACACGTTCAAGTCGTGCAACCCGGCGTGGCGACAGGTCCGATGTGTAGTTTGCGACCCCACCAAGTGTCAACAGGTAAGATAATCGTGAATCATTTAAAATTCTGTGTGTACGAGAGAGTTGAGTGCCCATCGCGCAATTGTACACACGGGTGTACGAGAGAGTTGAGTGCCCATCGCGCAATTGTACACACGGGTGTACGAGAGAGTTGAGTGCCCATCGCGCAATTGTACACACGGGTGTACGAGAGAGTTGAGTGCCCATCGCGCAATTGTACACACGGGTGTACGAGAGAGTTGAGTGCCCATCGCGCAATTGTACACACGGGTGTACGAGAAACGCGCACCGATTGGATATTTTTTCTGTGACGTATATTTTTAAGTTTGCAACCCGTTCTTTATTTGATTGAACAGAATAGTTAATTCGCTTTTCTATTAAAATATTTACCCGTGTGTACGAGAACGCGCGTTTACCCGTGTGTACGAGAGGCGCGCGAGAGGTTACCCACTACCCATCTGTATTACTAAGATGGATCTGCATTACTGTATACAAAACCCAGTTATACTGTTTTTTTTTTTAAATCTCAGTAGTAGCACGGAGTATAGATTTGCGGTATATGGCAATAGACTCACCCCCTATTTCATGGGACTCATAACATAAATAGTGAAAAGTGAGTGTTACATTGTTCAGTGGCATTAAGTGCTGTAATGTGCGCCTCTGCTCACACCTTCGGGGATAAAAGGCGTGATGTTATGTCATGCCCGAATACTGAAAAGCCACGCAATTCTAAGTCGCGCTTAAGTATAGTTCTGTCGCAACAAACTCTTTGTAAATGACAGAGACGGCACGATATTTAAATGCCGACTCCACCGGAGTGATACTCGCGGGACAATCTCCGGCCACCGTAAGCGCGGGCCGCGGACGGCGAGCATGGGTGGCTCCCCGTCCGACCAGACACAGACCCGAGCGTACGGTGCCGAGCGTTCCGCGCGCGCCTCTAAGAGCCATCAGACCACCACAGATGGGGCCCAACAGGGCCGATGCTGATACGGAGTCGCGGAAAACTTAACGGGTGGGTTACCGGGGCTCCGGCTCGAAGTGCAGGAGTAGGAACGGGGTGGTTTTTAGTCAGTAAGAGTCTGACACTCTCCCGCCTCACCCAGGCGGGAGCAGTCATTCGATGACTTTCTCCCCTTAAAAAAAAGTAAGACGTAAAATATGAGGTACATATTTTTATTTATTTATTTATTATCAGGCAACGAAGGCCCATATTAAAATACAATAATACTATAATATCTACTACAATTTTAACTTAATAAATACTATAAATACATAATGTAAGTAAGAAATTAAAACACTAACTTAGACATATATACATGTACGCGGTTACATGGAAGTGTAAACGCTGCGTCAATACTTCGCGCGCAATGGATAAACTGTGCTTCGTACCCAGTTATAGACTGTCGATGATGATAGTCGTTGGTTGCAGTCAGTCCGCGCGGCGTTCCCGTCGGCGCACGTGACGTGCTCCGTGTGGCAGGCCGCGCGCGCCGCCGCCCGCCTGTGCTCGCTGGCCGCACCGCCCGCACCGCCCGCGCCGCCCGCACCGCCCGCACCGCCCGCGCTGTGCCCGCACGGGGAGCTGGCCGCGCGGTGCAAGACCTACGCGTTAGCTCTGCTCAGGGGAGATCACACGTTAACGCAGTTACAGGTTGGTACTATAATGTTTATTAAGGAGAAAGAAAGAAAAATAATTTATTCGCCACCAGACATGGACCACCGAAAATTAACACACAACATAAACATTGAAAAACAAAAATAAAAAGAAAACAATATAAAAAACATAAAATAACAAAAAAAAAAAACAAAGAAGGCAAAAAAAGAAACATTATAAAAAAAGCAAAATAAAAGAATCAGGGTGGCAGCATATCCACGACGAAAGGGCTCGCCAACTCAGTGTAAGGCGCGGTGACTAACTCATGAGACTGCAATTTTCTGCGATCTCGCAGCCTCGGTTGCGTCTTTAGCCCGCAAACTCGACGGTTGATTATCGCAAGATGGACAGTTAAACAAACAGTTGAGGTCCAGACCGGCCCTCCCATTACGATGGCCCGCCGGTGCAGCGAGAGCCGCAAACAATAGCAACCGCAGTGGGCGTAAAACGCACCGTGAAATGGCCGTGAAATATGCTTTGATTTTTTACATACATATACATATCTGTATTCTACAAAGGCTGCGAGCCCACAACTGCGGCGGGAGCGGGAGAAAATCGCGCCGTGAATCTTTAATTAACACATTAAAACGCCATGAGGTCACCGGTAACGTACGTTAGCGGAGGGTTTGCCTTCAACAGTTTGCTATTGACAGTCGAAACCTTAAATTTTTTTTGAATAATAGTAATATATTTTTTTATGATATAAGCCGGTAAACGAGCAGTGGAATCACCTGATGGTAAGCAATCAGCGTCGCTCGTGGATACCTGGAACACCAGAGGCGTTACAAGTGCGTTACCGGCCTTTTGGGATTAGGAATTTAAGTATTGTTGAGGATTCAGGGATTGGGGAGGTAATTTGCCCTCCGGTAGCTTCACTCACACAACGAATACAACGCAAGCGTTGTTTCACGTCGGTCCTTTGCTCGACCGTGGTATCACTCCGGAGGAGCCGCCCCATTCGTACCGAAGCATGGCTCTCCCACATTTAAGCAGATAAAATATCAGCGTTAGGCGATGACGTCATGATACTGCGTACAGTCTGGTAAGCGATGGTACCAGATGCCACCAGATGCCTGAGCCTTCCTCGCCGAAGCCAAGGCGCAAAAAAATAAAATAAATATAAGGTTTAAATTAATACTTAAAACTGCACTTTCCAGGTTCTAAAGCGCAGTATAATAGGCACTGGAGCGGGCACACTGCGTCTATGGGAGGTTTTATCTCGGCCCAACGGGGCCATTGCCAAGCTGGACTCTTGGCTAGAAGCTGATAATTATACTAATATATTGCATAAGGTGAGTTAAATGTTTTTATATATGTGATGGGCCGACGTTTGACCACTATCTCGCCTGGTGGTAGAGCATGTCGACCCATAAGCAACCTATTCACTCGGGCCTTGAAGAACATAAACAAAACATCACGCCTTTTATCCCCGAAGGGGTAGGCAGAGGTGTACATTATGCCACTGTACAATGTAACACCCACTTTTCAATTTTTATGTTATGAGTCCTATGTAATAGGGGGTGAGTCTATTGCCATATACCGGGCACAATTCCAGACTCCGTGCTACTACTGAGAATTTATAAAAAACCCAGTAGTAGTAGCCTTGAAGAATTTTTGAAAATTGACGACTTCTTCATTCCGCAAGTGTGGGAGAGCCATGCTTCGGCACTGCTGGGCCGGCTCGACTGGAGTGATACCACGGCCGAGCAGAAAACCGACGTGAAGCAACGCTTGCGTTGTGTTTCGTCGTTTGAGTAAGGTTACCGTCTCCGGAATCCCCGAATCCTCCACAATCCTCAAATTCCCGATTCCCAAAAGGCCGGTAACTCACTTGTAACGCCTCTGGTGTTCCAGGTGTCTATGGGCGACGCCGATTGCTTATCATCAGGTGATCCGTCTGATCCTTTACCGGCTTATGCTATAAAAAAAAATCTTGACTTTGACTGTAAATCCCCTAAACATTTTTTGATTTTGATCTTTTGACTTCCAGGGTCTAGAACGGCTAGTAACAAAATTCCAGAATTTGGTCCGGAACCCACTACAGCTGGACGAGTTTGTCTCCATATTCTTCAACGTAGCCAACCAGCTGGAGAACGACAGGCGGACCTTCGCACTTAGTAGGTTACGGGTGAGTACATTTTACACTGCTTCTCTTCCCGCGGGTGGCATACACCCTACCATTTACACCTCTGTCTTCCGCTTTACCTCCTTGCTCTCTATTTACTCCGCTTCTCCACTTTATTCGCTCTCTCGCTCTCTCCCTCATTACGCATCTCTCCCTCTCCCCTTCTTTACGCCTCTCTCTCCGCAGTTACACCTCTCTCTTCTCCTTTACTTCACCCTCTCCCCCTACCCCTTTACTTCACCCTCTACCCCTTTTCTTCTCCCCCTACCCCTTTACACCTACCTCTCTCACTAACCTTTAAAGGGCGATGTAAAGGGGAGTGGGAGAAGCCGTCCCCCCTCGACATCGCCCTCTCCCCCTCTTTACTACTACCTATTTCCTCTTTAATTCTCAGTATCTCGCATTAACCTCCTCCTTCCCCCTTATTAGTTTCTCTCTCTCTCATCTTCCCCCTATCCCCTTTACACCCCTTTTCTACCATTTTAATCACATATCTACACTTTAATCAGTACTTTTCTCCCCCCTTTAACTCCTCCTTCTTCCCCCTATAATCCCCCTAATCCTTATTCTTTCAATAAATCTTCTTTCAGCACAATATTTTATGTGATTTTCTTGTTTACAGGACACTGAGACTCTGAAACAGTCCCCGACGGATACCATCACACAGTACGCTTACAATTTGATGTCTCATCAGACCAAGTTAGCACAGAAATGTCTAGACGATAGAGCTGGCAGGTAAATATTTATTCTTAACTAACCCTACAGACTTCGTATCGCCTTTTTTTTTAAGGGGGGAAATCATTGAATGACTTCTCCCGCCTGGGTGTGCCGGAAGGGAGTGTCAGACTCTTACTGACTAAAAACCACCCCGTTCCTTCTCCTGCACGTCGAGCCGGAGCCCCGGTTATCCGTTAGGTTCTCCGCGACTCCGTATCGGCATCGGCCCTGTTGGGCCCCATCTGTGGTGGTCTGATGGCTCTTTGAGGCGCGCGCGGAACGCGACGCGCCGTACGCTCGGGTCTGTTTCTGGTCGGACGGGGAGACACCCATGCTCGCCGTCCGCAGGCCCGCGACTTCGTACCGCCTAGAATTAGTTTTTTCTTGCCTTTCAAACCTTCCCTGGACTTCCACGGACATTTGAAGACCAAAATTAGCCAAATCGGTTCAGCCAGTTTTAGCGAGACTAACGAACTGAATGGACTAAGTGTGTGAGAGCCATGCTTTGGCACTGCTGGGCCGGCTCGACCGGAGTGATACCACGGCCGAGCAGAAAACCGACGTGAAACAACGCTTGCGTTGTGTTTCGTCGTGTGAGTGAGGTTACCGGAGGCCCAATTACACCCACACAAAATGAGAGCATTTTGTTGTAAAAAAGAAGGAATAGAGAGGGTTTACCATAAATATTACATACTAACTGCACGATAGATACGTTGGCTGGGCAACTGGCTGCCGCGTAACGTGTAGCGGGTTCGATTCCCGCACTGTGCAACTCTTTGTGTGATCCACAAATTGTAGTTCCGTATCTGCGTGTGATGTATATGTGAACTTGTATTGTAAACGTACACACGACACAGGAGACAATCTTAGTATGGGGCAACGTAACAATACAAAATATTTTTTTCATTTCTTCCATACTTATCCATTTCGTGTTATTTCATAAAAATTCATAGAATACTCTCGTTTTTGACAGTTCGAAAAAAGTATTGAATTTAACTACAGTCAAAACCGTTCATAACGACATCGAAGGGACCGATTAATTATGATCGTTATAACCAATAGTCGCTATAACCAATATCTTTATGCTTTATAACCCGTAGATGCCCAAGCGGTCACCGGTGACCGCTCTCCCCTAATATTACATTACATTATAGACCTTATTTCCAATGTTTAGAGACTACTTTTGTATGACCAAATTTAGGGGATGGATTTCAACGGGAAGACAATAGACTGGACCTCAAAATGTCGTCGTTGTACCCGATTCGTCGTTATAAACGATGTCGTTGTAAGCGGTTTTGACTGTAGTTGGCAAGTACCCAATGTCTAAGCACCTCTTTCCCTAATTAAAGCGTTGTATCGTCCCAGGAAGCACAGCAGTGCTGCCATCTGTAAGTACGGCACGTCGACGCAGGAGTGCTCGTGCCTCTTCAGCAAAGTCTTCAGGCTGCCCTGCAGGCATATACTTATGTTGACCACTGAGCTCAAGGTATTTAGCATTTCATTTATAACCGAATAGCTTTTACTCGCTGCTTCGCTCGCGTCACAAAAGGATAAAAAGTTTCCTATGTGACATATACCAATACACACAGCGCCATCTATACCAATACTTTTGTTTTCTCTCGGGAATATCAAATTTTTCCGGGATAAGAAGTACCCTATTATTTAATCCGGACTTCTAACTTTACGTCTGCCTAAATTCAAAGCAATCGGTTTAGTAGTTACGGCGTGAAAGTGGAACAAACATACAAACAAACAAACTCACTTTCCGATTTATAATATTAGTAAGGATAAGGATTGTAAAAAATGTCCTGGTGATTCGGAGGTTTAAGACGCTCGCTTCTCATGCGTGAGAGTACAAGTCGAATGCACGGTCGGTGCGGTGGCTGGGCAACCGGCTGTCGTGCAACGTGTCGCGGGTTCGATTCCCGCACGGAACAACACTGTGTGATTCACAAATTGTTGTTTCGTAGCACGGAGTCTGGCCCGGTATATGACAATAGGCTCACCCCCTATTACATGGGACTCATAACATAAATAGTGAAAAGTAGGTGTTACATTGTACAGTAGTATAATGTGCAACCCGTCGAGGATAAAAGGCGTGATGTTATTTAATATTTTGTCGTTGATATATTCCAGGTTAAGACTCACATCCCGTTCGAGCCGCGGTGGACGGTACAACATTGTCTGTTCGGCTGTGAGAATCTAAACTCTACCACTAACAATACTGGTACGTATAAAGTCTTTGGCCACGTCGCTTTTTTTATGGAATAGGAGACGAAAGAGGTGACGGATCACCTGATGGTAAGCGGTCGGCGCCACCCATGGACGCCCGCAACACCAGAGGAGTCACAGGTGCGTTGCCGGCCTTTTAAAAACACTTTAACAACGCGGTTGGCGCGGTGGCTGGGCAACCGGTTGCCACGCAACGTGTCGCGGGTTCGATTACCGCACGGAGCTTCTTTCTACCTTTGTTCGTTATTTTTTTATGGTATAAGCCGGTAAACAAGCACACGAATAACCTGATGGTAAGCAATCGGCATCGCCCATGGACACCTGGAATACCAAGGCGTTACACTGACGGCACGGGTTAGTGCGGTGGCTGGGGAACTGGCTGCTAAGCAACATATAGCGGATCCGATTCCCGCTCGAAACAACACGTGTCTGTGTGTGATGTGTGTGTGAACTTGTATGTTTGTAAACGCACCCACGACACAGGAGACAATCCTAGTGTGGGACAACGTCTTTTTTTTAAAAAAAAAAAAAGGGTATGCACTACTACTACTCCGTTTAATACTTTGTTTAATAAAATAATCCTCCAGGTGGCACTAGTACAGTTTAAGAGTTTGTCATTTAAAACACATTTTCCTGCAGTAGTTCACACAACGAAACACAACGCTGTAGTTATTTCACTATAGTTTCCTGCTCGGCCGTGGTATCACTCCGGTCGAGCCGGACCAGCAGTGTCGAAGCATGAATGTTGTGTTTCCAGGTGCGGGGTCATTCCTGGAGCAGGTGGTGGTGGAGGCGGAGGACGCGCCGCGACAGGGGATGCAACAGTCCGCCGTGCATCAGGTGCGCCGCATACTGGCATTTGTTCACTCTAACATACATTTATATTAAACCATTATTTGGGACTTTTGAAACGTCAACAAAACAAAATAAATAATAGTCTGTCAGTCAGTCCGTCAGTGAAGCTAGGTGAAGCTAGGTGCTCATTCCAAAATGTAGATTCGAATGGAGAAGAACGAGCAAGAAACTCCATTCGTTACTCTTTTTAAAAAAGTATGTTCTCCAATGTCTCTGATACATATTTCAATACTGTACGCATATGTAAGAACAATGCAAAGACACGCTTGACGCATTATACTAATTACAAAACTTACTGAAATAAAAAATAATCACCAAAATAATTGTCCCATGAAGTTACTGGTGAAAAATTGCAAACAAAAGTTTTGAAGTCTGTTTTTTTAAACGTAGTTTATAACTAGGTACTTTGACTGCACGGTTGGTGCGGTGGCTGGGCAACCGGCTGCCGCGCAACGTGTCGCGGGTTCGATTCCCGCACGGAACAACACTTTGTGTGATCCACAAATTGTTGTTCCGGGTCTGGGTGTCATGTGTATGTGAACTTGTATGTTTGTAAACGGACCCACGACACAGGAGACAATCCTAGACAACGTTATTTTTTATAGAAAGTGCGTTACAGGCTCTTTCAGGATTAGGAATTTGAGGATTGTTGATGATTGAGGATATTGGGGAAGGGGGGGGAGGTAATTGGGCCTCCGGTAACATCACTCACACGACGAAACATAACGCAAGCGTTGTTTCACGTCACTACATACGTATCTACATAGATATAGTCAATAATATAAGTGTTTGTTCCAGGTAGGCGGCGTCAGACAACAGCAGTACGTACTAGCCACGGCCGGCCAGCCCGCCACACCCGTCTCGCAGGTGACGTCTGCTTACTGGAGCTAAGGGACCTCCACTAATTACAGAACATGAATTTCATCATTTTTTGCCCCTCCCCCGTCCTTGTCACAGTTGATCACATTTGTAAAACTCCCCCCTTCCTAGTGTGATGTCACGTTTTGCAATAAATAAAAACAGTTTTGTTTCGATTTAATAAAAAATAAAGTCGTGGTGGCCCGGAGGTTTAAGACGCCCACTTCTCATGCATGAGGGTGCGGGTTCGAAACCTACCAACGGCAAGTACCAATGTGACTTTTTCCGAGTTATATGTACTTTCTAAGATTATTTAGACACCACTGACAAACGGTGAAGGAAAAACATCGTGAGGAAACCTGGGCTTATAATTTCTAATTATAAGTTTGAAATCGCCAACCCGCATTGAGCAAGCGTGGTGATTAATGCTCTAACCTTCTCCGTGTGAGAAGAGGCTTTGCTCAGCAGTGGGCATTTATAAGCTGTTGATGATGAAAGCGCGGGGTGCGCGTCGCGCCCCGCTCTGTGTGTGTGTCGGCGGCGCGCGACCCCCGCCCCGCCCCTCAGGGAAGTGATCGGCGATGGCGACCTCTCGCGGCCGGGCACTGAGCGCGCCGGAGCTCATCCCGCCCCGCAGTGACCTGGCGCGGCAGCGGAGTGTCGCCGGCGACGTGCGTCCGGGCACTGAGCGCGCCGGAGCTCATCCCGCCCCGCAGTGACCTGGCGCGGCAGCGGAGTGTCGCCGGCGACGTGCCTCCGCGCGCAAACAAAACACGCGCGCGAGCACCTTCGCCTCCAGATCCCACGGCGGTAATCCGGCAAGGAGGTTCGCCGACTCCCCAGAGATCGTGCGGTATCCGCGGATCATTCGGATCGCCATGACCCTCTGTGACATGAGCAGCGTCCGAGCGGGACGCCGCAGCATGTAGAGGGCCATGGACCGCACGACCCCGGCGTATAACCTCCGGCAGGAGGTGTTTGGCCCCCCGAGGTTGGGGAGGATGCGCTTAAACGCAGCCCCCGTCCTCGCCAACTTTGGAGCCAAACGTCGGAAGTGCTCCATGAAGTTCCACCGACTGTCGAGGACGAGTCCTAGGTACTTCATCGCCGTCTCGACGCCGATGGTAACCCCTCCCGCCGTTATTTGGGACCCACCCGGAGGTGGCGCGTTTCCGCGGCTTTCATGGCCGCGGACTTGTGGAGCGCCACCTCGAGCCCCAACTGCCGGATTCTTTCAACGACCGCTGTCGCCATTAAGTCGGCCGCCCCCTGGTACGACCTCCCGTGCGCTAGCACCAGCGTGTCGTCGGCGTAGCATATTGTGCTAACGCCGTTCGGGAGGTCGGTGCGCAGTACCCAGTCATAACCGATGTGCCACAGGAGCGGCCCCAGAACCGAACCCTGTGGAACACCGCGTGACATCTCTCGCCGGTTCCACTCGCCCCAGTGACCGGGGTAGATGACAGACCTGTCCGTCAGGTATGCCTCGATTACACGACGGAGGTAGGTAGGCACCCGATGATATCGGAGTGCCTCCAAGATGCAGCTCCAGGGCAGGGAGTTGAAGGCGTTGGCGATGTCCAGAGACACCGCCACTACGACCTTACCCCTGGACACTGCAGTCCCCGTCGTCCGGTCCCTTACGCGCATGATTGCGTCCACCGTGGAGCGCCCTCTGCGGAAGCCGAACTGGCCGTCCGACAAGTCCGGCCCAATGTCCGTCAGGTGCGCGACGAGGCGGTTCGAAATGATTCTTTCGAAGACTTTCCCCACCTCGTCGAGCAGCACTATGGGCCGGTATGTGGACGGAGAGTCCGCAGGGCGCCCAAAGCAGCGGGAACTGGCCTCTGCGCGCGCCCCCTGGCGGGTGTCACGTAGCAAGTACCATGGGCGACGACAATTGCTTACTATCGGGTGATCCGTCTGCTCGTTTACCGACTTATGTCATAAAAAAAATACAAATACTCCATTATTATAAGATACCCCTTTCTGTTTCAGGTGATATTCTGCGGCGGCGGCGTAGGCGGAGTGTCAGGCGTGACCAACGTCGGGGGCGGAGCGCCCGTCATCACGTCGGTCCTGTCCGCGGGGGGCGCAGTCCTCACTCCGCACCACTCGCTGCATCACTGACACAAACTCACGAACCCCGGTAAACCGCCATTGAATGATAATCAGAGCCGTGTTATCCCTAAGACGAATTAGGCAAGCACCTAAGGCGCCAGTGCCTTAGCCAAACGCCACTTTAGCGCTTGTCTACAGAGAGAGTAGAAAACTAAATTTTTGGGGATGACACTGACAAGTGTCAAAATGTACGTCAATTCCATATAATTTGGTTTTCTATTCTACATGTAGACAAGCGCTAAGTGGCATTTGGCTACCGCTGCAGGTTACAGAGGGCTACTGGACTTTTCCTCACCAGATGGCACTAATCTCGTTCTTCGTCCTGAATTAGCTTTTGTCACCCCTTTGGGCGTTTAATCCCTATCATCATCAGCCTATAAGTGTCCACTGCGGACCAAAGGCCTCTTCTCACACGGAGGTTTGAGCATTAATCACCACGCTTGCTCAATGCGGTTGGCGATTTCAAACTTATAATTAGAATTATAAGCTCAGGTTTCCCACGATGTTTTCCTTCACCGTTTGTCAGTGGTGTGTATATAATCTTAGAAAGTACATATAACTCGGAAAATGTCACATTGGTACTTGCCGTTGGTAGGTTTCGAGCGCACTCATGCATTAGAAGCGGGCGTCTTAAACCTCTGGGCTGCCACGACGTTCAATGTTTGACAAAATATCCCTTTTTGGGTCAATCCCGCCACAACCTCCCAAAACCGCTGCAACTCCTGTGCACCAGGATCTACAGTAGATACAACCATGCAAACACCGGTACACTGAAGTCCAACGTCCCAGGGACATGAACAACTGTCTCGGATCCCGCAATGAAATAAATCAGAAGATATTATAAGAGGAGAACAAAAACGATAGTTTCCACTTCCCTCGGTGAATTACTGCAGGAGACAGAATGAATTAAGCCTAAGGCAAAAAAAGAGACTGTACAACTGGGTGAAGCCCAGTCGTCAAGCACTACGGAAATTTGATTAAAAACGAAGTAGGTCCTATGTAGGGTTGCCACCCGTACTTTATAATAAAGTATTGTACGTTATTTAAGGTAATTGTACTCTATACTTTATAAGAATAATAGAGTAAAAGAAAATACTTTATTTTTGCAAACTTCATTTCTATTAGTCCTTAGTATATTTCAGTAAACTTATCGATTCGACATCGATATTTATCGATTTATGTTGAATCGATTTCGCCGCTCGCCAGCGCCACTTAGACAATTTCTAGTAAAGATGCAGTTGTTTAGTAAAGATACTAATTTAATACAAACTGCAAAAAGCAATAAAAAAAATATTTTTAAATATAATAATACTAAATAAGAATAAATTGTACTTTATTTTTGTACTGTGTACCTACTTTTTTTCTTACCTATAATCGTCAATGTACTTTAAATACCAAAAAAAAGGTGGCAACCCTATTCCTATGTGTGAGCTGTTATACTTGCTTCCAATAATAGGTATGGCAGAAGCGCCTAAACGCTCTGTTCTAGATTCCTCAAGGTCCGTATCCTCTTGCTGTATCTGTATCATCTGGTGATGGAAAAAACAGTAGTCCCCATTACCCATAGCGATGGTCGCGCCTATGAGGTGCTTGTCTACGGCGCTCTCTGTGTAATTCGCCTCTGATGGTAGTAACAATATTTAATTGGCTGCGGGGTTTCTGTGTAATATAACATCACGCCTTTTTATCCCAGAAGAGGTAGTCACAGGTGCACATTACGGCACTTAATGCCACTGTACAATGTAACACACACTTTTCACTATTTATGTTTTTAACAATTTCTTTTATACCTAGTAAACTAGCCAATTACATTGATACATAGTGTTTAACTTCATGAAGTTAGAGGCCCATATAAAGTCATTCATAAACAATTGTATCTATGAATTAACTAAAAATTACGAGTAACTCAAGTAAATATATCGAGAAAATATCTCCCTGTCATACAGACTTGCGACAAAGTCGTGTTGAACGAGGGGTTACCTGTCGCCATCTTTGATTTCTACAACATCATATCACGACAAAGGCTGTATATGCTCTGACTTCACCCCCTATTACATGGGACTCATAATATAAATAGTGAAAAGTGGGTGTTACATTGTACCTATATGTGCAACCCGTGTCCACTTCTTCGCGGATTAGATTTTGTTGGAAATATATCGAAAAAAAAACACTTACTAGACTTTTCCTTAGAACAAAATGCTGTTAAGACTAATATGTCTCGGATGTGACGGTTTTTATCACTTCGCTATATTTCATCAGGCATCATGGCGACGTAACCAGCGCCGCCGCCAACAAAATGTATTCAGCTCTACAGAGAGTTACTCAAATGGTGTCGCCTTGGTTCCGCAACCAATGTGGCGGCGCGACTAGTGCGCTTACTCTTGAAACCAATCTCAATGTCAATGCAAACCGGACTGGCGGCTGAGTGACACATCATACAGCGCTATAGTAATTAGTGGTGGCGCGACCAGCGCGGATAAACGACTTATAACAATCTATGCTGGCGTCCGAACTGAGCGCTTACTCATGAAACAAATCTCAATGTCCATGCAATTTCAATCCAATAAAATCTCAATAATTATTCAATGTCAACACTATACAACCACAATCTTAGCTGTTATATTAAAATAAAAACTGCGTTTAAAAAACCGACTTCAAAAAACCAAAAACTAATAACAAACAAAAAGTCAACTAAAAAGACAACAAAACAAGAATTTTGGAAATTGGTTCACAAACGGTGGAGTAATGCCCGAACTAACAAAAAATAAAAACAATCAGCCGAACATAGGACCTCCTCCTTTTTTTGAAGTCGGTTAACATAGCATTAAGAGTGCGGAATACAAACCCAAACTCAATACCATTTGAAAGAAAGAAAGAAAAATCATTTATTCGACAGTAGGCACGCACACAGATACAGTAAAATACAAAATTAAAAAAGAAAAGAACAAATTAATACACTTTTTACGGTGAGTGCCCTTGCCAAAAGGGCCTCCATCTCAGCATTAAGTTGAGCGTACATGCCCATCGCTGATTTTCACATGCAGTGACTCACAGCGTAAGCCGCTCAAGGAAAAAGAAATGAAATATAAAGCATACAAATAAAATAATTATTCTGCAGGATACGTGTTTGTGTGTAATAGTGAAAAAATAGTGTGGCTATATGGCAATAATAATAATATAATAAATATAATTATAAAAGTGTAATATAAATTTCAATAAATTTAGTTCATTCACTAGTAGCTCTTGAATCCAATTCCGATCGATCGACATTGTTATTGTGTCCTACTCTTGAGTTGCAACACTAGCGCCCATTGCATCCGTATTGCGCGGATATTGAATGAACTAAATGGTATTGAGTTTGTCTTTATATTCCGTATTCTGAATGCTATTGTAACAGCTACGATTGTGGTTGTATAGTGAATAATTATTGAGATTTTATTGGATTTAAATTGCATTGACATTGAGAATGGTTTCATGAGGAAGCGCTCAGTTCGGACGCCAGCATAGATTGTTATAAGTCGTTTATCCGCCCTGGTAGCGCCACCACTAATTACTATAGCGCTGTATGATCTGTTACTCATTCGCCAGTCTGGCCTCCACGGTGGCGACGTCTCGTTGCGTCGCTATGGTGCCTCATTGAAATATAGTCCTTAAGTTCTATTTCACAAAATCTTAATTACTATTTGTAGATATAAACGAAACGCTTTAGAAAACAAATTGTTATTTTTACGATTGGGTAGTTTCCAGGGTATCAAAATTAAATCTGATTAGTCCGTCAGTTAGATAATCAAAAAATATCAGACACGTATTTTTTTATTTTCTTGTATAAAGTTGCAATACTTAGATAAAATGGCGCTAAGTTTAGGAGTGGGAGGTCGTTACGTCATAACGTGCTACAAAATGTGGCACGCTGTGACGTCGCACGATATTTCAAATTAATATATCGTCGAAAGTATTTAATTTTGTGAGAAAAGAAAAAATACGTGTCTAAAGTTTTAAATTAATGTACCAGACGGACATTAAAATAAAATTTAGAAAACTACCCTATTGTAATCGTTCTTTTTTTCGTGTTATTTATCCAACATCAACTTTGAGCAGTTGATTATGACAACTAGTATTACATTAAAGAAACATTTAATTCTTTACCCTTATAAATAAAACTAGCGACCCGCCCCAGCTTTACACAGGTGCAATAACCATGTATCACTACATAGTATAAAACAAAGTCGCTATCCGCCGTCTTTCTGTCCCTATGTATGCTTAGATCTTTAAAACTACGCAACGGATTTTGATGCGGTTTTCTTTAATAGATAGAGTGATTCTTGAGGAAGGTTTATATTATGTACAGCTAGCGACCAGCCCCGGCTTCACACGGGTGCAATATGCATGTATTGTACATATAAACCCTTCCTTAAGAATCACTCTATCTATTAAAGAAAACCGCATCAAAATCCGTTGCGTAGTTTTAAAGATCTAAGCATACATAGGGACAGACAGACTGCGGATAGCGACTTTGTTTTATACTATGTAGTGACTAAATTTTTGGAACCATTCTGTTTACAGTCTGTATATCAAAGACATTATTTCATTTGAAACAGGAAGACACTTGAACGTCATCAAAATAAAAAGTGTCAGTCTCGTCAGAGAGTCCTCTAGTTGCTCTATTTGCTCGTTCCAAAGTCTAGATTCCTATGTAGAAGAACGAGCAAGAAACTCCATAGGTTACTCTTTTTCAATCAGGTTCACAATACAATATCTTGTTCCGTGTGTGGACAGAAAATATTGTAATTTCAAACGTTATTTTTTTAAGATTTTGTGAAATAAAATACCTACGTTAAAATACTCAAATACCACTCGATTTTAAGTTGCGCTTAACCTTTTAAATGCAATATGAAACACAATAGAACATACATTGTGTCTCGCGAGGATCCACGTCTTATGCCCGGGCCACACCAACGACAAACTGGGATGCCGTCTCCTCCTTTTGCGAAGCAGTCATGCTGGCTAAG